TTCAGTTCGGTTCGGTTCGGTTCAGTTCCGTACTATAATTCAATTTTTTAACATTTAAAATAATACTACATAAATACACCTGAAAGTAAATACTAATATTAATAACAAAAAATAGATACAAATACCAAATTCAATCTTAACTTTACAAATTAACGTAATCTAATTCAATAACATATAAATAATNACTAAGAAATTATACAAGAAAAAATTGAAAAAAACACAACTAACAAACATAAATAAATTCTAAATTGTTCAACTAATAAGATTTAATAAGAAAAAAATTATTAATTTGTTTAGAAAAAATAAAAGAAATTAATTTATCCAATATTAAAAAAAAAAATTCGGTTCTTATTCGATTCTTCGGTTCTTGGTCTAGAACCGAGAACCAAACCAAACCATTCGGTTCTCGATTCGGATACCCGTTCGGGTATTTCATTTTAAAAAACCCGCTCGATTCAGTTCGGTTCAGATATTTTGCCCAGCCCTACCTATATACGATGAGCGTGCACCCTGAAATCCCCATTTGGGCTATGAAACATACGATTACAAGCTATGTGTATATTTTATCGTCTAGTACTGAAAAATGTGAAAATTTTGCATGAGTTGATAACTTGGAAGTTATCGTGCTATGTAATCGATCGTTCTGTATCTGTGCATTGCTCGAACAAATAGGAGTTAGGGCTTGATTTTTTTCGTTTTCATTTTTTCAGGGGAAAATACGAAGTATTTTAACATATGCCTACATCATGGTGGAACTTTGTTGGGAAAGATAACAAATTTCGTGTTCGAGCATGGCAAAGTAAGTTACATAGACGATGTCGACCTGGTCTTCTTCAACAGATTTCTGCTTGACAATGCCATGAAAATGATGGGATATTCTGGTATAGTCAAATATCTGTACAATATGGAAAAGAGGAGGATTAGCGAGGTATCATTCTGGTTGGTGAAAGATTCAGATTTCATGAATGTAGTGAAGTAGCTTGGTCAAAAGAGGATTGTTGAAGTGTATTGCTAGCATGTGATTGAGGTATTGGAGTTGTTATGGTATGGAAATATTTCAGTGGTTGATTGTGAGACTTGGGAGGAGTTGCTACATTTTGAAGAGTTTAGTGGACATGAGGCACCAGTGGTCGAAGAGCAATCGTGCTATGCTGTTGAGGTTTATGATGATTCATTGAAAGGTGATGAGTCATACATTGTCGAAAAAGTAGATGATTTATAGCATGGTCAATCAGAATTAGAGGCTGGTGAAACTGATGTTCATGCTGATGAAATTTATGTGCAGCATAGTGAATCAAATGTGAATGCTTGTAAACCTGGAGTACAGCATGATCAATCAGAGGTGCAGGTTGCACAAATTGAAATGGAACATGGTGAATCATTGGTGCAGTCTGGGGACAATGAAATGAAGCAAGGTGAACCATATTGTGATGTGTAACCAGAAGAAATTGAGGTGCAACAGAGTGTACCAGAGCAACCGGAAGAAACTGAGATGCAACAGAGTATACCGGAGCAACCGGAAGAAACTGAGGTGCAACAGTGTACCACAGCAACCAGAAGAAACTGAAGTGCAACAGAGTGTACCAAAGTAACCAGAAGAAACTGAAACGCATGTTGACACTGAAATAAATGAATATGAAGAGGGTTATTTGGAGGATTTCCATGACTCGGAGTATGAGCATGAAGAAAATATACCCATAGATGATGATGATGATGATGATGATGATACAACCACAGGTTTCAAGTTGAGTGAAGGGTTTGGGATTGAGATAAATAGTGGAAGGAGTGAACAGGGGGTAAGGCAGCTCCTGAAGAAGAAGTTGGAACAGATTATGACGACTCAGAGGAGTTTAGGAGCTTATCCAATGATGATGAAGGTGATGGATCATCTGACAAGAGCATGAATGAGTGTTGGTTTAACCCTGCCACTGATATGGATGATCCAAAGTTCAAGTTAGGGATGACACTCGACAATGTCAAGGTTCTAAGGGCTGCAATTGTTCAGTACTCAGAAATGGGCACTTCATTTGAAGGAGAACATTACACGACCACATTTATATCCACGTTTCACAGCATACAACACAAAAACCCTCAACGCCTAAACACTAAGCCTAAATTTCTGAAGCTAAAAACGTCCATCCCACAAACCCAGCCGAAATACCTAGGTACAAATCCATTTTACAAACACACCACACACAAAGTCAAACAGCCATGTCTTCCACAGATTTGGTCTTGTTGCTTAGAGGTTGCTGATTTCAGCTTCCATTTCCCTCCTTGCCCGTAATAGACCTGGAATCAGCTCCCTAGATCTCTCACACATAGGAGGGTCACTCCACATGAAATAGGTACATATACCCAGATCTTGGCTTCGAGGACAAGTGAAATCTTCTTCCTGGGTTCAAGTTCGTCCATGAGGTCTTAATCTGCGCTGGAGAACCACACCTGCATACATTCATCTCCATTTGAGTGTTGTTCTTTCCTGAATAGCTGCATGGGGGAGAGAAAGATATTAATATAGTGATAATAATGGAGGGAAAGTGAACAATGCAGTGCAATAATAGATAGGAAAGTAGTGTAATTTCGAAATTGTCCTTGTGTATTTGATAGAAATTAATTTATTTTTTTTGAATTCTGGGGTCAACTAACGATTTTCGTGGTCAAACGGACGAAAACCGTCAAAGGGTACTGTATCTGCGAATTTTTTAAAGGTTTAGTACCATGGGAAAAAAAAAGTATGCAAAAAAGTGAAAGGTTTGGTACTGTGGCTGTAATTTTTCTAAAATTAATTATTGACTTTGACTTCAATTTTAATCCACTTTTATAACTCAACCAAACATTGACTTAACATAGTACACAAAATGTTAGCCTTAATGTTAACATTTCACATGGCTTATAAATATGAAAAAGAAATTAGCTTATAAAGTGTTGAGCTATTCCTCTAATAAGAGTTGATATTTTTGATCAATCTCTAACATTCAATATAACATCACAAAAGAAAAATCCCAAACAAACAATTCAATCCGTTTAAATTAGTTCAAGGAATTAAGAACGCTAGCCAGTTGTCTCGTAGAAAAAATTAGGGGTGTAAGCGGTCCGATTTTTGCGGTTTTTGACAAATTTTCAAACCAAACCGTTTTGACCGGTTTGAGAAAAGCTCAAACTTAAACCAAACCGTTTTGACCGGTTTGGAAAAAACTCAAACCTAAACCTAACGGTTTGGTCCGGTTTTAAACCGCTGGTTTCACGTATATTTTTTTCCTGTCTAGTATCTACTTTTATGCCATTAATTCAATATATATTTATATCTTACTAGAAATAAATCTAAAACAAACTAAATATATTTATTATAAATTTAAATACCAACAAAATAAAAGTAAAATCACAAAAAACTAAAGTATAGTTTTTTATTCGCCCTTTTGACGTTTTAGAATAATACTTTACGATAAAGATACAATACAAGTCCACGAAAATAAATATAAGGTCCAAAAAAACATAATAATGTCCATTTTCAACTAGCAAAAGGAATAAACGAATTAATTTTGTCACAAAACTCAAGAAACATCAAATTTTGTCACAGAATTCACAGAACTAGCAAAAGGAAGGAACATTCACATACTCAAGAAACCACATGATCAATTTTGTCCTTATACACAAAAAAATTTTAATTAGCAAATTGGAAAAAAAAAAAAAGAATTAAGACACGGATCCATCTAATAATGGATTNGCAGGGAGCGAGACCGCGACCAGCGAGTGAGAGAAATGGAAATTGGAATATTAGGGTTGTGACTTGTGAGTATATGGACCTGGATTGAGCTGTTTAGTGCTACTTCTTTCAAATTTGGGCCTTTTTTTATATATAATTAGGATTGGGCGGGTCATAAATCTTAATAATTAATAGAAAATTAGAAATTGACAAAAATACCGACAAAATGACAAAATTATTCAATTTTACAAAATTGAAATTTTGGATAAATTTTCAAAAAAAATCAATTTTTTTTTATTTTATATATTTTTGCCGGTCCGGTTTGGTTTCAAACCATAATTAAAATTTTCAAACCTAAACCAAACCGTTTTTGACCGGTTTGGTTTGGTTCAAAACCATTTCGTTGACGGGTCCACGTGGCACCAAATCGTCGGTTTCGAAATTGCGGTTTCGGTTCGGTTTTCCGGTTTGGCGGTTTTTGCTTACAGCCCTAGAAAAAATGACAAGATTCGTTTTTTTTTTTCCTTTTTTTTTCTTTTATATATATCTTAACTAAAACTGCGGGTATAGTGGTATTTTTCGACAAAAAATGAAAATGAATGGATATCGTCAACAAAGGACTAACTGCACACCTAAACATCTAAGTTGGGGATGACAGTGCCAAATAAAATTGAAAATCGGAACTAGATTTTGACAAGTGCAACAGGTTGAGGAAGAATATTGCAATTTTCCTTAATTTTTACTACACAACAAAAACATCAACAAGCAAATACTATGATCACATTTTTAAGATATTTGTTAATTTTAAAGTTAACGTGTTCCTCCAATCTAATCACACGTGGAAACAAATAGATTAGTATGCTAATTATCTGTATGAATACGTAGATGAGATGAAGTCAAGTAAATTTTTGTTTTGAATTCTATTAGAATAGATAAGCACAATTTGATTTTATAAGAAAAGAAAATTGTGCCATCTGGCTTTGGTATATCCTTTTTAAAATTGACGAGTCAGTTTCTTATTCATTTATTGTAAATTCACAATCAAAACTTAATAATTGAATTTTTCGAAAAATTTCAAGTACTATGCAAGAGTTGAGAAGCGAAATCAGGTTTCAAAGAAAGAACAATTTGGAAACATTATCTTGTAATCATTCTAGTGCATGAGATATTATTTTCAAGTGGAAAATGTACGATTAAATAGTAGGAAAAAAAAAGATCCCAAACAAATATCTCTCTCCTCGACTTGTATAAAGATGGTAATATCTTCCCTCCATAATCTTTCAATCCAATCTCCAGAATGGCCAACAACTCTTCTCGAACACCACTGCGCGACCTTGAACGCGCCACCTCCTACTCTCCCATCCCCGACCAGCCACACACCTTCATTCCGGCTGGCAACCGGAGATCCAAGAAACTTTTAGCAACCATTCTCTTTTCATCTGTTTTCTTCATTTCCTTAATTCTTCTGTTCATCAACCAACAGCCTGAATCTCAAACCAATGTCAATGGGTCAAATCAAGAAAAGTCAACAGCAGCTCGACCTACGCCGCCATCAAGAGGGGTGTCTCAGGGAGTGTCGGAGAAGACTTTCCGGCAGATCGGCGTCGACAAAAATGTTTCCTACCCATGGACCAATGATATGCTGTCTTGGCAGCGTACGGCTTACCATTTTCAACCGGAACATAATTGGATGAATGGTATTTTTTTTTGCAAAAAGTATTTTTAGATCTTTTCTTTCTTACTTTCTTGGCATAAATATTTATGTATTATTCTGATTTGGCTTTTATTTTGTCTTATTCTTATGATAAACTTTGTGTGATGACATGATGGCTTCTGCAACAGATCCTAATGGTTAGTAGCTCTCACTCTCTTTATCTGTTCTAATTTTCGGTTAAGGTTAATGCATGAATATTGCACTTTTATGCCGTAGATAGAATATAAAAGAGTGGGGTTCCAAACCTTTCATATTATTGTAGATTATATCCAAACATTTTATTTTTGTATTTGGGGCCTTTCAAATTATTGTAGATTATATCCAAACTTTTTATTTTTGTAGTCGGGGGTCCCAAACCTTTCATCACTATTGCAACTAGAGGACAAGTGGACGGTAACCAAAAGTCAACGGTCTAATCAAAATGTTTTTTATTTAATTATTTTATATGGGATAATTTAGTTAGATTATTGACTTTTGGTCAACTAATTATCAAATGGACGAATTCCGTCGACATGTCCTCCAGCTGCACTTGAGATGAAGGGTTTGGGTCCTCAACTACAAAAATGAAAGGTTTGGGTATAATCTGCAACAATTTAAAAGGTTTGAGGCCCCAACTGCAATTCTCTCAAAGATTTAACATTTTTATTAATAATAGCTTTAAGTCCAGGTCTCGGCTCCACTTATTTTTTAATAATCTTAAATTAAAAGAAAAAGATATTTATGCTTGCTTAAAAATTTTAAATTTACGTGCAGAATATTTTATTGTGTGAGTATATGGTTTAAAATGATCTTATAGAAAAAAGAGCTTTAAAACAATGGGCACCAAATAGGGGTTTAAATTAAAAATAAAAAAATTCATTTTATTTCTTTACTTGTGGTAATTAATCGCTAGTAAATTCCTAGTCAAACATGGATTCTATCCTGCCTATCATCAATCAATTCAATTTCGAGAATTACCCTCCCTTAGGTGTATAGCTAGAAATCAAAACTTTAGTACATTTTGATAAAATTTGATGAAATGTGTGGTCGAAAAGGTGATAAAAGGTGTTGAATGCAGAATTTCTAGACAGCATGCATGAGATTGCCTATGAGCGTGCAGGAATTTTCGGCAATGGGAATGTGCCGATGGCAAGGCACGGAAAGCTATAGGTATTGGTTGCAGGGAGCATAGCATGCAGGAATTTTCGACAATGGGAATGTGCCTATGGCAAGTCTCGATAATCTATAGGTTGTGGTTGCATGGAGCAAGGTATGGACGGATGCATGCTTGTTGCCTTCAGCTAGTTTCAGCCATATTCAATTAGCATAAAATAGGCACAAGGATGACACATGGCTGGAAGTTGAAGTCCATTTGCTTTGTGTGCTTGAACAATGGAACGGTTTGGTTTAGTAGTTGGGGACGTCAACTGCCAAGGCAAATTTCCATATATTTTGACTAAGTTTTGAGACAACAATTAGAGAATTGTTTGAATGACTTAACTACAAGTGAAAACGACTAATTGGGTTGAGTAGGGCTGTGATACCCTTCCTTTCCAAATGCTTCGCAAACTTAGAGGGTTAATGTGAATATTTTAATGTTTTTTGTTTGTTTTAATTTTTTCAGTTCCCACCCACTGATACATCTTTAAACCCATTTCACGTTGTCTCTAGGTTAATTGGAATTCATTGTACAATGTAGGTCCATTATTTCACAAAGGATGGTACCACTTCTTCTACCAGTACAATCCATATTCAGCAGTGTGGGGAAATATCACATGGGGCCATGCAGTATCAAAGGATCTTATCCATTGGCTCTACCTACCTTTTGCAATGGTATCTGATCACTGGTATGATTTCAATGGAGTCTGGACTGGATCCGCCACCATCCTTCCTGATGGTCAGATCGTGATGCTGTACACCGGAAGCACGGTTGATGCGGTGCAGGTGCAATGTTTAGCATATCCTGCCAACCTATCTGATCCTCTCCTCCTTGATTGGATTAAATACCCGGGTAACCCTGTTCTAGTTCCCCCACATGGTATTGGGTTAAAGGACTTTAGGGACCCGACTACAGCTTGGCTCAGCCCGGATAGTGAGAGATGGCGGATCACGATTGGATCCAAGGTTAATCAAACGGGTATTTCTCTTGTGTATGAAACAGTTGATTTTAAAAGCTATGAGCTGCTAGATGGGGTTTTGCATGGCGTTCCAGGTACAGGTGTGTGGGAGTGTGTGGACTTTTACCCAATTTCGACGACCGATGCAAATTGGATGGATACATCTGTTAACATACCGGGTATTAAGCATGTGCTAAAAGCAAGTGTGATGAATGTCATGGGTGACTATTATGCACTTGGGATATACAATCCGTTTGAGAATAAGTGGACACCAGATGACCAGGAATTGGATGTGGGAATTGGGTTGAGATACGATTATGGCAAATATTATGCTTCAAAGACATTTTTCGATCAGAGAAAGAAGAGGAGAATTTTGTGGGGCTGGCTTAAAGAAACTGATAATGAAGCAGATGACATCATGAAGGGGTGGGCATCTGTTCAGGTATGATGAATTCCTGGATCTTTTAATAATTTGATAATTAATTCTTTCGTGTACATTATATAATTAGGCTGTGGAAAAATATGTAAACTTAGTTTTTCGATTGAATATTTTCTATCACGTCGAAAAAGTCTTATATGCCCCTGCCTTACTTGGGGAAGAATTGATGGAAGACAAGGGGTCTTGGTAAGGTCTGGGGTCAGGCAGAAGAGGACAGTGATCCAGGGAGGATGGTGGAAGAAGGGACGAAGTTAGGGGGAAGGGAGGCAGTAGGGCTGCAAGAGAGGCGAAACAGTTGGGGATTGTGAAGAGAATAGAGGGAGAGCAAAATAGGGATGGAGAAGTGAAAGGGAGGCAGGGAGAAGGAACATAATGTAAGAAGCTAGAACATGTTGGGGCTGTGGGGATGGGGGCGGGGGTGGACATACAAGGTGGAGTAAAATAAAATGAACAGAAGTGTAAATTGGGATTTTAACAAAATGAAAAAAAAAAAAATAAATAAATTGAAGCCTTTTTCATTTTTCTCTTGAACTAGATCCTTGTTAAACAATTTCCTCTCTTGCAGTCTATTCCAAGGACCATTGTGTTTGATAAGAAGACAGGCAGTAATATACTTCAATGGCCAGTTACAGAAGTGGAAGATTTAAGATCAGAAAGTGCTGAATTTGATAATGTGAAGCTTCGACCGGGATCTATTGCTCCATTGATAGTTGACACAGCTTCACAGGTTTGTACTTTACCTGGCCTATAACCTAAAAGGGTAGGGAAATTTTCATTTGAAACCATTATGTATGAATAAAGGGAATTGATCTTGTATATGGTGCAGTTGGACATAGTTGCCTTATTTGATATTGATAAAGATGCATTTGAAGAAACAGTTGAAACAGACGACGTTTACAGTTGCCCAACAAATGGTGGTGCTGCTAATAGGGGAAAATTAGGACCATTTGGCATTATCGTTCTTGCTGATGAAAAACTATCAGAGGGAACCCCAATCTACTTTTACGTTATCAAAGGAGATAGTGGAAAGGTCGAAACCCATTTTTGTGCTGATGAATTGAGGTTGTTTTTTTCCCCTTCTCTTTGCCTAATTGATGCGTACTAGGTGGTCATTAAAAGTTAAACCAAAACATCAATGCAAGGTGATGGCATTCAAAATAAACATCATGAACATCGGGCTCGAGGTTGGTGATCTGGTTCCTGTAGTTTCCCAACTGATGTCTCTCTCCGCCATTGCCTGAGAAAAGTGGGGCAGGATGTCTCTAATGCCCCTCTAGTGATCAAGGCAAAGCGAGGGAGAATATACATCATTTTATTTGAATTTTTACTTAAAACTTTCTTAACTTTCAAAACAGCGATGGATAATCCAGTAACCTTACCAAACAATTTACTAGCATCGGCGCTTGTCCAGCTTTGACGCATATTTTGTCCCCCTGTTACTTTACCTCGTGGTTTATAGCTATTTTGAATTCTTCATCAGCATTCGAAAACTTGACAAAACTAGAAATTTGGTTTAGATGCCACTTCTTATCTGGTATGCATGAGCAAATTATGCTTTTATCTAACTTGTTGGAAAAAAATTGTTACTATGTCTGATGCAGATCATCAAAAGCTCCTGATGTTGACAGAGTAGTCCATGGGAGCAAAGTCCCTGTGCTTGATGGTGAAAAATACTCTCTGAGATCATTGGTATGTGCTAATTGATCATATTTTAATTTTGATCCCTTCCCTTTTTAGCTTCTCATAGTTTATTCGGTTATCATACTGCTTTACAATTTTCAAGCAAGCATGTTAGTGCTTCAACGTGCTTGGTTTTATTGTAACAGAAAGTAGGAGTCTTAGAAATCTCATTTATGATTATTGAGGCATGTTAATGTTTCAAAGAGATCGTTTTTACTGAAAAAGAAAGTTAGAGGCTTAGAAAAAGGAGAAACATAATTGTACACTCCAGTCATGTTTTAGTATCCAGTACTAGGTGATACCTAACACTAGAATGAGCAAGATTTTGGCTTCTTTATCTTCATTAATACTGTTTAGTGTTGTCTAGTCCACCTTGTCGGAAATGCCATCATAGTTACATTCTTAAGTTCATGAAAACTGTTTTGAAAACCCATGTATTATTTGTGTACTCGTACGTTCACATGACCACAAGTCCTCAGTTTTGGCTCAGTTTACCTTGCAATAATCAAGACTTAATCATCAAAACGACTTTGTATGTTTGATTTTCTTGATGTATCTAGTCATTCACTTTTTCCGAGACAATTTGAAAACTCGATTATTATTAATAAATTCAGGTTGATCACTCCATAGTGGAGAGCTTTGCTCAAGGAGGAAGAACAGTCATAACATCGCGAATTTATCCAACGAAGGTGACCAGTGGAGCCTCACGAGTTTTCTTGTTTAACAATGCCACAGGAGTGAGTGTCACAGCATCTGTCAAGATATGGAAAATGGATTCTGCGAATATTTGTCCCTTCCCCTTCGATCAGTTGCGACTCATCTCAAATGCTGTACTATAATTAATTTATTTCGTGGTTCAGTTTTAGCAATTGTTAGAAATTAAACTCAAACGCTCCTCCTCCTCCTCCTCCTCTTTTTTTTTTCCAGCCATGTTGAATAAGTCTTGCAGATTATTAGGAGTCCGTTTTTTCAGTTTCTTTGTTATGTCAATAAAGTAGGGCTTTAGTGGGTCAATTAGCTGTGTTTCTTGATTCAGTTTGTTGAGTTTGTAATTGGTTATAAATGACTCATGATTCTAATGTTATGTTGTCGATTTTTATATTCTGCAAGTGTACGGATCGTAACAAGTAATATAATGGACCAATGAGTTTGGATATTATTCCCACAAGGACTACTATCTAACAATTGGTTAAATTATTTCTAACTTTAATTTGATCGAAAATAAATAATAATTTTGTGATTGGTGTCTAAATTACTTTAACTAAACTAAATTAATCTAACGTAACAATTTATTGAATTTGGATTTTAAAAGTACAAATGTGGATGTTAGAACTTACAATTTTACCTAAGGATCCTCTTTAATTCGCCAATCAAGATTCATTACTATTGTAGTGTTCTGTCGAATTCGTCTAAAGTATTCAATTTACTCATCTTAAGTTCTCATTGAGTCTATTTAACTAATTCAATTTCATATCTCCACGTAAATCAATCTTAATTAAACGAAGTATTTGTTCTAAGAATTTGTCTAATGACTACAATAATTACCATATGTATCTCTACACCTTATACTAAATTACCGGATTTTACTATGTGGTCTAAATCTAAAACTCACATCTGGATTCGTAATTGATTCACAAAATCATTGAATAATTGGCTAAATAATTCAAAGTATTAAATTTATGAATAAAATCAACATATATCCATTCAAAAGACTAGAATTTTGAATAAAAGAAATAAATGATCACATATAGATTACATTATTCGTCCTAACTATGAATTTAGATACTCATAATAATGAAAGAAAAATAAAAAGTATAGAGTTCATAACTAGGTTTTGAAATCTTGATCATGGAAAGAATTGGATCTTGCACCAAGAATCTTCTTCAACCTCAAAAGTTTTCAAACCCTAACTTTTGCTTTTTGATCTTGATGATTATGTATTTTTCTATCACCTAATGTTGTGGAACTCCTTCAAAAGTATCCAAAAACTTGCATTTATACTCCCCACGTTTTTGTCGAATGTAGGGTTTTATGGGCTTCAAAACGGGGTCTACAACGTTCCCTAGATACACCTACCTTTCGGGAAAATTTCAGCAATGCACCTCATTTAGTATTTTTATCATACGTTTCCCTTCTAGTATCTGATTTACGAGATTCAACTTGAGTCGTAAAGATAACAGGGCTACAACTTTATCAGAAATAGCATTTTTCCAATTCAAATGTTTACTAGGCCGAAAATGAGTCAATCTCCGACTGAAAAATCTGGAACATCCTTGTGTAGTTGAAAATTGATATGTGAAAATATTTTGACCATATTTCACTCCTTTCGACTTTTAATTTTCATTCTCGAATCTTCATCGTAAGCTTCGGTACAAATTTTAAGTATTTACACTTTAGTCCTCAAACTTTGGATCTTGCCCCCTTTTCGCCAATTTTCACTTCTTTCTTTCAAATCCACTTCCTTTCATCGAGTTTCACCTAATAAATGAAGTATACAATAAATTAGGTTATAATTGTTCAAAAGAAATATTAAATGTCATCAATAAGAACTTTTCTTCTTCTCTCATTTATTTTTCCTACCCTAATTTTTTACTTCTAAGATCCTGTGTTTGGAAATTATTTTGAATTTAATTTCCTGCATATGATATCAGAGCCTGAAACATCCAGAGCTTCTAGATTGCTTGTAATTAGGTTACAACAATGAACGGATCATCTAGCCTTAACTTACGAGGTTTAGTGGCAAAATATTTGATCAATGGTGCATTCAGTTGAAGGCCTTGTTTGGGTTTCAGGAGCTCTCTGAGATTATTGAACTTGGATATATAGAACTAATTGATCAAGCTATTGTATCAGCTCTGACAGTAGCTCTTACCCAAGGTCAAGAGGAAGGCTTGAGGGAGAACAAGAAGAAGGATGAGAAGGCTTTATATCTCCTTTACCAATCTGTAGATAGGGTAGTCTTTGAGATCTCAAGTGCAACTACAGCTAAAGAAGCATTGGAGATGTTGCAAAATTCCTACAAAAGTGATGAAAAGGTGAAGAGTGTGAGTTTGCAAACCTTAAGAGGTAATTCGATTCTCTTTCAAAAAAAAAATCTGAAATTGTTTTTGATTATATTTCCTGAGTTCGGTTTGGGGTTAATGACCAGGGACGGATCCAGGACCGGAATACAAGTCGGGCTAATACGTTAAAAAAAAATTACACGTGATATTTTTTTTACATAATATTTTTTTTTCCTAACTAAAAAAAAACCGGTGGGTGTTTGTAACACCCCAAATTTCCATAAACACAAGGCGCTACTTAAGTCGAAATATCCTGTAAATACGTATTCTCAATAGACGCCAAAATGCGTAAATACTTTTTTTTT